AAAAAAAGATAATTTTTTTTTTTTTTTTTTTTTTTTTGTACTTTCCCTTTGCATAGCTTTAAATTCTTTTCCTTACCTAATTGTTCTGGCTGGAACTTTCAGTAGCATATTGAATAAGAGCAGGAAGAGTAGGGCTGGGGATTTATATCAGTGGTTCGGTGGCTTGCCTCGTAAGAGCAAGGACCAGAGTTCAATCCCGGTACCAAAAAAAAAAAAAGCAGGAAGAGTGAAGATGCTTACCGCGTTTCAGATATTAGGGGACATATTTACAGCTCTTCTCCATTCAGGATGATGCTGGTGGTGAGTTTTTCACAATTAGCATGCATTATGTAAAAATACATTCTTTCTATACCTCTTTGTCAAGATTTTATCACTGTTACATTGATTGATTGGCATATATTGATCCATTCTTTCATCCTTGGGATAAATTTCCTATTGATCTTAGTGGCATTTGTAAGTGTATTGTTGGATTCCATTTGGTAGAATTTTTTGGAATTTTTCTACCCATGTTTATCAGGGATGTTGATCTACCTTCCTTTTTCAGTTGTTCTTCATTTCCTTTTGTTATCAGGGTAGTTGTAACCTCAAAGAATGTTTGAAAGGGTTCCATCCCTTTTATTTCTTAGGAATAAAGTTTGCCTTCATTCTTTAGGAGTTTTGTAAAATTCAACAATGAAACCATCTATTCTTGTTTTTTTTTTTGTTGGAAGACTTTATTATCAGTTCAATTGCATTACTTGTCTTTTGTCTGTTCAGTCTCTCTGTGTCCTAACAGATTACTGCCCTTTTCTAACTGTTGTACTGTTTTCATAGTAAAATAATCTCTATAGACTTGCCTTTTTCAGGGCTTGCATTATATTACTATGTCTTCTCTGGCTTTCTATTTTCCAGCCTATTAATGAATAAAACATTATTTAAATGTAAAAATAAATTTCTTAGATTGATTCCCTCTTCAATAATCTGAAGTCTCAGGACAATAAGGGGCACTACACTTCTCTAATATTAACTTTATTTTAGGGAAAAATTTTACACTGAACATCCCAATATTGAGCATAGAATAAGTATGGGTTCTACTTTCATCTCTCAGCAGTGCAAATTTAGTGAATATTTATGAGCAAACATTTCTTTTCATTCGAAGTGAATTTAGTTTACAATAAATATTTCTTCTTAATATAATTTAATCTTCATTAAATCAGTGCTGTTTATCCATTGTTTGACTTCTCCTAATTTTATCTACAAAACCCAAACCTGGTGTATTAGTCACTTTTTTTATTGTTGGGACAATGTACATGATTTATACAGTTTAAAGGAGAAAGGTTTCTTTTGGCTCAGCATTTCAGAGATTTCAGGGCATGACTGGCTAACTCCCTGCGCTGTAGATGACGAATGCTGCTCCACTCAGGGCAGCCAGGAAACTCAGAGAGAGACAAAGTCAGCCCCACTGGCAGATGTGCCCTCCAAAGACACCACAATGGACAACTTCTAACTGGGCCTCCCCTCCCAGCAGTGCTGTCAGCAACCACCTCATCAATGATTTAATCCATTAATAAGTGTACTACACCCATGGTCTAACCGCCTTCTAAAAGCCCAACTTCTGAACACATGAATCTTTAAGGGACATTGTAAATCTAAACCATAACCACTGGCTTTAATAAAAATAAATTTAGCCTACAAAATCCATGGCACTGTTGTTCTCACAAAGTGATTACAAAGTCTGATAAGATTGTTGAGAACTGTTGCGTCTTTACATTTTTACTATTACTCTTCTTCAAACTTTCCAGATTTATTCTGCTTTCTTTTTCTTTCTCCAAGCCTCCAATGGTGGAATCCAATATAATGTAGTAGTGTACAAAGCAATGAAGTCAAACCATCCATCTTTTCATGCAGTTCTATCACTTATTTTCTGTATTTTCTTGGGCACATTGTTTAGCCACCGTTTCCAAAGGAACCTAACCTAGGGTTGGGCTGAACATAAGATAAGACACAAAACTGGTAGTGCAGTAGCGATAAGACCTGAAATAGTTCTAAAACACTCTTCAGCTCATACATAAAAATTTAGATCATAACTTTCTTCTACGGCATTTATGCATTGTTATGTATTAAAATCTCATGCATATATTTGCATATTTATTATTCATAACAAAGTTTGGATTTAGTTATTTGCTAATCAGGTCTAACTTAGTAACTTTAGTCAATTTCTGACTCAACTCTTTTTTCTTTATTATGAAAGAAATGATATATTTGTCACATATTAGAAATGATTAGTTATAATAAAAAGTAATGTATAACGCTATGTTGAGAACAGAGTACATTCAAGACTTTCACATATATTTCTTGAAGAACAATG